TCTTAGAGCTGCACTACACTGAGCTGCTCTGTGTCCTCCCCTCTGAAACAGTTTATTTGTTCTTCTGGATGTGGGTAGGAAGTTGAAAACCATCACCATTGAAGTAGCATGGCCTATGTGCTAACAGCAAAGTTGGCCAGTTACTTGGAAGCTCAGCTGAGATTACTGAAGTCAGCCCTGGACAGCCCAGGTAGCTCAGCTTGAAAACCTCACTGGAAGCCAGCAGGTCTTCACAGAAGAGTGAGTGAGAGCACCACACCTCTCACTGTGTGGACTACTTTTCATTCCCTGAGCATTTCCATCTAGATCAGACGTGCAATATGCTCCCTCCCTAGCCAACTGTCCTCTGCTGGAGGCACCTTTACAGTCCCACAGTCTTCTGTTTTTTCACCTTTTACTGCCCATAATATGGCCAGCTATGTCTAGTTGGTGACTGTACTGAGAGCTGACCAGAAGAAACACCTGGCCTAGGCAAAGCTCTATAGCCTGTAGATAGATACCTTCTGTACTGGCAAAAATCAAACCATCCTCCTGCCTGGCAATCACTGTGTTTCCACTAGGGGACCCCCTTAGCACCTGATCTGGTGGACAGTCTGAACAAGCTGAAGATATCAGTTTATAGTACATCCCTGCTCACCACCATGGTCCAGTGGGACCTAAATTACAGATAGATTGTCCTCTGCAGCCTAACAGATTGAGGCTTTGCCAAGGCTAGTGTGTCCCATACTTTGGGTTTACTCTGTCATTTCCTTCATAATGGTTGCAAGTTCTCTGCGCCATCCTGTTCCTCTTTCTGGGTAAGGCTGAAGGCTCCTGGGTTGTTCCTCAGAACACCTCTTCTGGTGACAGGCCAGCTGGAGGAGGACAGCAGAGAGCCCTGCTTCTACAATGCCTTCTCCTGCTAGGAGAGGTCACAACTGGGTGCATCACAAGCTTCCTACAACTTCAGGTTCCTGAGGTACTCTCAGCTTGAGGAATTTCTACCAGGAATAGCAATGAGAGTTCTTTGCAAAGCATTAATTTGCAAACACGGTGTTGTATATTTGTTTGATATGGTGCGTATTATTTATATAAATAAAGATCTTACAAATGAGCATCAAATTTTGTCATTATTTTGGTACCATGTGGGTGAGGGAAGAAAAATTTGCCAAAAAGGATTGACATATCATCTATTCTTTCTGATTTCTGGAGAGACAACCTGATACTATCCTATTAAATGTCTTTATCCTTTCACTTGTAATTTTGAAGTGTTAACAGTGTCACCTAGCAGATCAAGGCAGATAAAGTGTTCAGGTACTTTGGAATACTACCCAAAATCTGTGATGTAAATGCAAAAGTTATTTGAGATGCTTCCTTCATTGTTGGCAAGCCTATCATTCCCATTCACGACTCATAATTGACCTAAGTGGACACAGAATGCTGACCCAACATACTTCACAAAACAGGAAGAGAAGCAGAGATGCAAAAAAGGATCTCTGTCTTTCAGCTTTTGATATTGGCCTGTACAACATCATCGTCCTTCTTGGTGAAATTGTTGGAGAGCAACCAGCAAAAGTAGCATTTTCTAAAAAAGCAGTTTAGAAAACCCAGCAGCTGGCTTTTGCTTAAAGGCTGACTCACACTGAGTTGAAGACATGTATGGAAACATGACCATTGGTGACACAGTGAGATAGGAGAATAAATGCAAGAAGCAAATGCAGAGAAACACGAACTGCATTCAGAATACATCCTAGGTTTAGATTCTTCTGAATCTAAAGCAGATTAAATTGAGTGAATTGTTCAGCTAATCCATGTGATTCAGCTATAGAATTTAGCTCTTCTGCTAGAGATTTTTTAACCACACTTTTTCTGTTCTCAAATACCAGTTCATATTATTTGTTACAAGATTTTTTACAAGATATTCTTTAATTTGGCATTATACATCAATTCAACCTCAAATGCTTTAGGTGTCTATGCCAAGAATAACTCCCTGGGGGGTGATTGTTATGCAGTATCACTACTTTTTCAGTCTGAAGTATTTTACTTGCTTTGCAGACTGGGTATATAGTGAACATTTCCCTGATGCTTATGCGCTTATCCTTACAGCCTATCCCTTATGGAGGTAGTGGTTGTGATATTCTTGGTGTCTCCTCCCTTTATATGCACCTGGGCAGAAGGTAACGTCTCAAGAGGACTGTGGCAAATAGCCCTCAAGGCCCCATTCGCCAGAGGTGTGGGAAATGGGGCCTTGTGATTTCTGGGAGGAAGTCTCCTCCCCAGACTGTGCGGAACAGCCAGAGCAGAGGCATATGGTACTAGCCCCAGTCTTACCTGGTTCAACTTCCCATGGTTTGCAGTAATAAATAAGGCACAGGCACATCTAAATAACTGTACATGATTGGTCTTTGATAACAGATGAAATAGGATAAATGGGATGAGATGGCTATTGGTACAGCGTGGGAAACTGGGCATGGCTTCCATCTCCTCGTACACAAGGGCGCCTGGCACCCTTTATAAGGGTGTTGGCTGGAGGAATCTTGTTCCTAGCTGGAAACAGCTCCCAAAGTCCAGCTCTCAACAACCCCCAGAAGATGCCCATTGAAAAGCAGGGCACTGACATCATTCCCACAGCTGCACACAGCATTACTCCAGCTCAGTGCACATAAGAACTTTGCAATATAAGAAACAGATAACCATGAAACAATGCAAAGACACACTTCAGACCCTTGCAAACACAAGCATGTCTTCCCCCCACTTGCTTCCTCTTTCTCTCCCATATACTGTACTTGGAAGTCAGGATAGAAAGAGTCTTCAGGGTCATGGAGTCCGGTCCCCTGTTACTTGTCCCTTCAGGGGGGTTTCAGCCTGGATGTATTCATGTCCAACACTGTCCTCTGGTTCGACTAGTTTTTTCTCCTCTCCCTGATGCTAACCCTTTAGTGTTCCTATGAGCAGAAATTTCACTATTTAATCACATAGGTACTAAATATTTGTGGAAACGGAAGTCAAATTTGGTTCACAGAAGAAACTTTGGAGGGATTTGGCAGAGAAGAGACCACTTGTTCAGACATAGCCAGTGATGATGAGCAGAGCCTCTGAAGGGGAAGGAGAAAGTGGGTTGCTGCAAGACCAGAGGTCAGAGCAGAAGGGGAGGCACCAAAAGTTGGCAAGTATTTTGAAGGCTGCCTTTGGTTTTTAAACCTCTCATACATTTTTGTGATAGGCAGGTTTACCCCCAGGCTTCCAAACGTGCATCAGATACAGCTAAAACTCCACTGCTGTTGCTGCTTTTGTCAGTGTTACTTTTAAGCATCCCAGCTGAAGGACTGTTGTGGCTTTTAAAGGCACGGGGCTGATAATGAGAGAGGTAATCTTCCTGACTACACAGGACCTGTCTCCTCACATGGGTAAATGCACCTCAGTTCCAGGGTGGGGAGGATGTTGATGTCTCCAGGCTATAATCTTCTTATTAGTTCACAGTTAAGAACTATCCTACTCTACAAGTTGGCACAATGTTTATACCAGTCCAGAGGGACAGAACAGGATGAGAGCAGACCAGCTGCCTTCTGTGGTTGCCTTTATGGGCTAATACTGTGGTAGACCCACCCCTAGGCCCTTATCTGCCAGTAGGGGCACAGCAGAGATAGAGCAGGTTGCAAATTCACTCTGGCAGACAAAACTGGTGTGAAAAATTTCTCTGAGCTCACTTGGAACTGGCAAGCTTCCAAACAGACCACAGGAAGTTTGTCCTCCCAGCTTTAGTGGGAAAGGCCTGAGCCCTGAGCACGAATGGTTATGGACCCTGCTGTATTCAACTACACATCAATCAAGTGATTTGATTTCTCCCTAAGGAAACAAAGAGTAAACGCTATAATGGCCAGAAAGAGGGCATGTGACATCCAGCATGAGGTCCTATACAGGAGGAAGAATACTTTAGCTGTGCTACACACTGCTTGGAGTTATTTTATTTGGTTAACACAGAAGGCACTCCCAATCAGTTGTGCTCAGCCTTGGATATACTCTCATACTGCAGGGACTGGAGCTGCTTCCTCAGCTGGCAGCTTTTCTGGCTGTCTTGATTTTCTGCTAGACATCTGGAGATTCTGGCATGGCCAAAGGATGCTATAAGAACTAATAAACTAGAAGAGATAGGCATGGTTCCCTCCAACCCCTGCCTTACCCTTCAAATCATTGTTTGTGCTTGCATGTTGCAGATTCCAGCAGCAGCACATTCCCCAGTGGGATTACACAATGGGTCTCCTGCTTGGAGGGATTGGGAATTATGAAACACGGAGCTCCCAACATGATTCATTCAGATGTTCTACATTATTTGCAGTGCAAATTGAAAACTGCTGCAAGACCCAGCACACTTATATCTTCTTTTTGCCTTCTGCCTGTACAGATAGCTCAGAGTTTTCAGTATCTTCTACTTCACCATTCCACTCAGTGCTTCCAGCTGGAAAAGCAGAGATTTTTTACCTTGTTCCTCTAGTTTGCAATGAACAGCCAGGTCTCCAGAATGTGGAATTGCAAGGGAGGGATGTGTACCCAGGAATGGAACAAGAAAAGCAAAGTTTCCACGGGGTTGACATTTTTTCCTTTTATTCTGTTGGTTTTACAGTCAAAAATGTAGGGAGAATAAAAACTTAAAGTGAGATAAAACAGAATTGCATAAATACTGTAATAGCCTGAAGTATTTGCAGAAATATATAAACACATATCCATAGGAGTGATCTTCATAAGAAATTCTCAAAACAACAATGTTTTACTTCTTTGGAACAGATTGGAGCATGAAAAATGTTGCTTGCTGACCTCTCAAGAGGGTTCTCGCAGAGTCTTATTGCAGAATAGGCAGATGTGATTACAGGACATGGTCTCCATCCCCACTGGACTCTCAGGAAGCCTTATAAAGACCCAGAGGAATGTGTCCTGGATGCCTGGCTGTATCATCTGAACTTCCTAATGTGCTCCTTCTGCTCTGTCCAATACTTAACAATGTTCAGATAGTGATAAGAGCCTTCTCTGGTGCAGCATGAAACTCACCAAGGCTGAAGCAGAAATGATTGCTGGGGAGTGGCTTTTCTGGTCTTTTATTGATGTACAAAACAAGTTTGAAAGCATGGTGGTGATGCTTGTTAGTATTCAGTTTGGCAGCAACGGAGGAAGACCCTAATAGGAGGAAAGAAACATGAACATTAAAAACCAGATGCCAAAAGCTGAAGTTGCCTCTTCAACGTAATACAGAATTTGAAAATACAGCATCTAGTCCAAGAAATCAATCACCCTGATCTTCCTTCAGTATGTTAGATAGTCTCCTTTGGGATATGCTTTTCCAGGCAACCGGGTAGGACCTCTTAATTTACTGTGCCATGTACACACCTCCTAGAAAGACAGAGCACTTAGAAACAGAAGCATTTAAAAGGTGGTAGATCGCATAGTTGAATCCAAGGGAAATGGAGCTAGATCCTGTGAAAAGACAGATTTTTTGGGGGGGTTAGAAAGGCCCTCCTGAGGTCTCTAGTCCAACAGCATGCTTGCATCATGGCTAACTCCAAAGCTGGCTCTGGCAGCTCAGAGGAAAGTTCTCAGTGTTCCCAGGGAAGATCTGAAAGCCTCTCTGGGTTCCAATACAGCACTATTCTCAGGGGGGACTTTTTCCATCTATCTAGTTGGAATTTCCCTTGTTGCAGCTTGTTGATGTTACCTCATATTCCCTCTGTGCATCTCTGAGGAGAGTTTAGCTACGTCTTTCCTACCTTTAAGTAGTGGAAAACTGCAGTTCAATCCCACTTAGCCTTCTTTTCTTTAGGTCTGGCAAAGTCAGTTCCCTCAGTCTCCCTTCATAGGGCAAGTGCTCCAGCCCCCCGCCTTTGAAGGGGTATTCTACCAAACCCTTTCTGGTTCCTCAGTGTCTTTCTTCTGCCAGGGAGGCCAGGACTTGCCACAACAGTCTGTATTTCTCTGGAGCACTGGAACTCACTCACCTCGTTACACCTCTGCGTAATTAGTAAAACAGGGCTGGATGTTCAGAAGGGTTGAACACATAGACCTTCCCATTCCTTCTGTGGAGGGTTGGTAATTAGCAGAACTACTGATAATAGGCCGTATTCACATTCATTTTAGGAGTGGCTTGTGTTCTCCTGAGACAGCAAAGCAGCTGAGAGAGTGCCTGACTTTGAGCCTGTGTCCCAGTGCAAGCTCCCTAGCCACCAGGACTGGCTGGTAATCAACACGGCTTGCCTGGGAGGGACAGGTAATTTGTTAGCTGGCTCTTTAAAACCTCGACTTAAAGGGCATATTCGCTTTGTACTGCTGCACAGGGAACTGTGCTGAGTCAGCTGTAGTTTGTCAGCACTCACAAGCATTAGCAGAGAGCTTTGTTCACCTCCCTGGTAAGCATCACACTATGCATTTGATTGTGCGTAAGATGCTAAATTATTTAATCATCTCAGGCATTAGGAGACTCAGAAAGGATGAAAGCCAAGGGAAAAATTTCTCCTAAACCATTACATTGCATTAACTACTTTGTTAGATCAGGTGGTTGACTGGACATTGCCACTGAGTGTGTATCCTGTCACCTGAACGTCTTACTCAGACAAGAATTATAAAGGTCAGGTCTTGAGGTATTAAAAGTCCTATGTAAAGTCTGGGGTGGATGGAATTGAAATGAAGTGTACTTTTTCCTCAGTCAGGAAGCTTATAGCGTCCTCAGACGCTTACAGCATCCTACATACAGGTTAGTTTTATGTGTGTGACTGTAAGTTCCTGTCTGTACAATGCAGTTGTGTGTATCCCTTCTTCCATCTCCTGCTACCCATTCTGCATAGAGGGACCAGTTCAAGTGAGAACTGTCTTGCCACACAAAGAGTGGGTGAGCCAGGAAGTTAACTCCAGTCCCAGTCTTCTCTCCTGCTCTTCAGACCACCCCTTTCTTACATAGTAGGCTGTACAAATAACTTCTACAGTTGTATGGACTACAAAAAATAGGGAATGCAGATCTCAGTCACATGGTACTCTTAGATATAAACTCTGATCCTGAAAGCAAATCCACTGATCCGGGCTTTTAAACTTCCTCAGAACTTAGCTAAAATCAGTGGCCCTATCCTGAGAGGCAAAAAGAGAGTCCTTGAATCGTGATTACACAGCTGAAGAAACTTCTGGGGTCAAATAGCTCCAGTAAACTGAAAGCTAATTAACTGGCAGCTGGTCCATGTAAAGGGTTGAAATTATGTACCCTTCCTGTAATAAAAAACCTGAGAGTACTGCTAAATCTCATCTCTACTCCTGGCCACAAAGGCACAATGTTGCAGCAAAGTCCTTAGCAGTCTCTTGCTGCTTGGCCCTCTACTTACACAGCATCAAGCTCATACTTATTTTTAATATTATCACTTCTGCTAACACCATTGCCAAACCTCCTTTTCTTGGGACTTTGCATTAATTTTCGCTCTTGATGTGTCCTTCAGGTGTCTACTAACCAAAAAGATATGACCAAGCTCTCTCCAATTCAGAAAGATGTATGCAGCGAAGTTCTGGGGACAGTAATCATCTTCTCCGTGTTGGTATGCAACAAACTTTCTCCAGCAGTAACTGTAATCTAGGAAGAGAGAGATCCAGTCACTCTTGATAAAAAGATGCCCAGCTCTTTCTTCATTAACACATCAGTTTGTCACCTGTTTCTCAGTAAGAATACAGTAAAGGGCAGGAGAAAGATATTCATGCAATGGATTACACAAATAACTACACAAATAAGTTAGTGGAAAGGAGAACCAAAACTCCACAAATAGAAACATGTCTGAAAAAGAATAGCCAGAGAAATCATTGTGGTGGCTAGGACAGCCCCTATCAAGAATAGCTCATCAAGGCATAAAGCCTGAGCACATTTGCCAAGACAGAAGGAATCAGCAAGTGGCAGGACTGAAAAGGGAAGTGGTATATGCAAGTCAGAGCTTGTCAAGTATACTTTTTGGTAGCCTTGTGCTTGATTACACAGCTTTGGTAAGACATGTTGCTTCAATCAGGAATCTGCCTGACTTATCTCAATGATCAGAGAAAATATGGAGTGAACACTCCAACATTTATCAGCTTCAGAATGATCTTAGAGTTGACAGGGTGGCCAGAGCTTCTGTCAATGCTCTGGTGGTATAATCCCAGAGGAAGGCTCCACAAGATAAGCAATGTCCTTTAAGAATGCATTAGACCTGGTGGATTTAATAGCTACACACTCCAGTAGTAAGTGTCCAGACAGGTGTGTGAGGCTCATCTCTTCAAACGTACCTTCTTTTCTGTGAGCTGCTTGTCTGGACTATTTGTACAGCCAAACATCAACAAGCAAGCAAGACGCATACACACAAAAAAAAGCACACGTGCAAGACGTTCTCTGTGACGCATCATCTGAAAGTCTCTATCAAGGAAAAGCAACTACTTGCTGCAGCTGGCAAGCTGATCTGCATATATATGCTAAGAGGGACAGGTTCTATCTTAAGCCCAGGATTTTTCACCGCATATAAGGCAGGTGTGGATGGCTAGAAAAAGCCCTAACTCTCCATGTTCAGATTTGGCAAGAGGAAATGACCACATCAGTCCTGCTGCTGCACAGGACTGGGGAAAAAAATAAGGCATAATAGAGCGACATTTTTGCACTCACTAGTCCTCCCTAATGCCAGTCATCACCTTTGTTACAAACTGAGAGTGCACATAGCCCCAAAACTTTCAATCCACACCTAGACAAAGCCAAAGCATAGTTGGGTTACCTGCAAGATTCATGATACGTATAGCGACTCCATTCATCACCAGGTTGCAGAGACCTTGCCGGTTGCGGATATCCTGGTGCCTGAACAGCTTGGCTGCGTATATTTCCAAGGTCACATTACGATGCGTCCTCAGGAACTCCAGAATTCTCCTGGAGCAATTTCCACAGGGAGTAGTCGAAAGGAACCAGGTGATGGAACAAGGAGCTGGTGGCACAGCACTGAAACAATTCTCCAAGAAGTTGACTTCAGCGTGTTGACTATGATTGTTTGAGAACCAGTTCCTCCAGATGGAACCATTTCTCCACCTGATTTCATAGAGCAGGTACACAACGTGTGGATGTTGGTCAGGCAAATAATTTCTTTTGAAGTCTTTCGGCTGTATCTTCCACCTGCAACAAAAGTACCAGCAGTACTGTGATCCCAGCTCTTCAGTGATGTTTGGTCCTCTCGCACATTGCCTGCTCTCAGCATCAATAAAGCCTCCCACTCTCAGCCTTTCCCATCACAAGTGTGCAGCTTGAAGAATGTTGTAATCTAATGATATAAATCTGGAATTTGATGAAGACTCCAGAACACCCACAGCACCTTCTTGAGAACTGCTGGGTCAGCAAGCAGCCCCATCACCGTTCAGGGATCAGCACCAGTCAAAGCAGTAAGACAAGGTGAAAGGAAGATTGGGGAAAGGGATGTTAAGAGGAAAACGAGGCACAAGGCTGTCTCTGGAAATCATGGAGCTCAAACAGCACACAGTGACAGAGGACATCTCTTACCCTTTTTTTTTCTCTCTGGGTGCAGGATCTATATGGAAAAGATTTGTAAGTCATTGAGGATAGCAGATCAGAAAACAAAATTTCCTCTACACTTTCTCTCCAGACCCCTTTCAGTCTATACATTCCAAGCCAAATCTCTTTTCTCTAAAAGGGCTTAATAAGTAATGTTTGCATAGCAGGATAAGCACCCTGGAATGCAGGAGGGGTGGATTCCTACCTGGGAGTTGAACTTGATAGCTCTTTAAACTACGCTTAATATGAAACCTTCCTCAGTTTAACACATTAGGGTTGATTGTGTAAACACTCGAGTTTAACTTCACTGATTTCAGCAGTGCTGCATCTGTTTTTCTCTGATTAATCAAAGAGCAGAATCAAATCTCTTATCCTTTTAAATCTTCCAAGCCACTTCTACTAGGCAGGCAAAACTTGAGCTAATTTTCTCATAATGTCAGTCTAGACAAAAACATTTTCACAACCAACAATCCCTTCCTTACTTATTATGAAACTGTTTCAAAAGCTAAAAAAATATCAGTGCCAAGGAAAAAATATAATGCAGAAAGGAGGGTGATTTCTGACTAACAAATACTCATGGGGTGTCACCACAGACCTGCCTCATTATACACATTTTGTCTCTTATGCTGGCAGGGAAGTTTGACCCCATGACTCATTCATACCTTTCCAGTTGAGAGTGTAGAGGAAAACAATTACAGGTGATCAAGGCTCCTTATTTATTTTGTAAAAATCCATTCATAGTGAAATTAAGGATTGAGGAATAATAGTTTTATTTAATACAATAATTAATTAACACTTATTTCCCTTTACAAATTTATATATATACTTATATCTATAATTAAAATTTAAAATAATTTTTATTTTACATTTAATATATAATATAATAAAAATTAATTTACTTAGAATTAAGATACTAAAGGCACTTTTTCCACAGCCTAGCTCTTTAAGATGAGGAATTATGAAAAATACGGAGTGAAATTGCATTTCAGGAGAAATAAAATAGTCTTCCACATCAACAGAGACGTGATCAACTCCCTGACAGCCATGTTGTCCTGATTCTTTAAGAAGAATATTCGACTTGTTTATCACAACGAAAATAAAATAAGCAAATAAGTTAACTAATTTGCTCCATTCTTAATTTCTTTTGAGACCTCTTTCCACAATAAAAGGTTCTTTGATTTTGAATTGTTTCTTCTACATTAAGGTTAATGAAATTATATTAATATTTTGAAGCCAGACCTAAGACTCAATCTACGATAATGCATTCAAGGAGATAACACGCATATCCACAGTGCATCTCCTGTGTATCCACATTTTTCCCTACTCTCCAGTTCCTCAGATACAACTAGAGTAATTATCTACACTTGAATATGGAGAAATAGGCCAGTATTTCACATAAATGTACTTACCTCTGCCACTGACAGCAGCCATGGATGTTTCTGATTTTGTTTGTCACCTCCTGGCCGATGGATCTGCCTTTATTAGTCTAAAGTTTGTTTCGGTTTCTATTCTCGAATGCTGAACTTTGGGCGTCTCCAATGTTACTCAGCTGAATATTTCCCTGTGGTGACTTTTTCTTCTGCTTATTTGCACTACCCCACTGGCTGAAGCTGAAAGCAAGTTCCTGGCAACAAGACTGTAAATGAGGGTGCTGCTATTCAGCAATGGATCTGGCCCTGAATACAAGGTTACTTACCTTCCAGAAGCTGAAATGAACAGGTGAGACTTTTTTTTTCTTTTTTTTTTCTTTTTTTTTTTTCAGTGCAGACAGAAATTACATCTCTTTATTACCTTTAGCTCCAGAATAGAAAAGCAAATCTTCTCTAGTCACCCCAAATGCACCGAGACATAAGCATTTACACAAATGGCGTCAAGACACAGAGCTGTGAATGGCAGATAACTTTTCTGACACCCAGATGTATCAGAAAGTTGAGCAGAATCCAATGGAGAGAGGGAAACAAATGACATCGTGCGCAAAACCCCGTGAGTCTGGGCAACTCCAGCAGGTGATGATGGTTGCTGCCATTTCATTTTACGGGACTACCCCTGTGGAGTTCCAAGGACCACTCATACACCCTTGAACCTTGGTCCTCCTGTAAAAAAAGAAGACCCTCAATGTGTATGATCACTGAGCTGTGGTCAGTGACTGTGCAGACACTCTCAGGTGAACTTCAAGCAAGCTGCCCAGCATCCAAGGGAGCTTTAGCAGTTGATGGCTTGTTGTGAGGGAACACCAAGACATTTTTGAAATGTACTCATATATACTCATCTGAAAAATGAGTGAAACAATGCTAGGTTCTAATGAGAAGATTTCCTCTGACTGACCCAAAACTGGCTTGCAGAGGAAAGGGATTACAAAACAGTTCTTCATATGGCTTAGGTAGAATCAGTCTCTGTCACTTACAGTTTTGTTTGGTTTTGTGACACAGTTATTTTGTGGCCCTGATGCAAGCTGTAGGAATGGATTCCTGGTGAGTCATCATCCAGTAATGTGCACTCCCTGAGGATAAAGCCATTGCCCTCTTCAATGCCAAGTCTGACTTGGGATTGTAAAGCTAGAGGAGTGATTATCTGTATTATCTGCAGCCAGCTCTCAATATTCTATTGTCAAAAATGGCTCAGTTTCCTGCCAGGGCAGAAGAAACATAAGCATACGTGAATGGTGGAGTTCAGAGGGAGTGCGGATTCAGGCACTGGCAAGACTCTGCGAAGGAGAAGGCCAGTCATGGAAGGTTATCAGGCAGTGCAGTGCCAACACAGAGTCTACCTTCAGGGCCTCTTCTGCTGCAAGGTCATCCCTCATTTCATAGCATAGAATTATTCCCTAGTGGTTGCATTATTTCATACCTTAGGGAGAGTGAATGGGATCGACTCAGAGATTCTTGAAACAAAAAAGTGATTGACTAATGTAGTTCTGAGCTCATGGACATGATTCTCGGTAAGACCAGGAACGCATTGCTACTGTAGTATTCTCTTCATTGCCTTCTCCCTGCAGTAGGTATTTACAAATACGCATATGTAAATAAGGCTTCAAAATTATTGGTCTGATCTGCAAGAAATGGCTTGATTAGCAGCAGCAGTTCCTGATATTAAACCAGAATGTGCCACAGAAAGCAAGGAGAGAAAAATTAGTCCAAACAGAAGCAGGGAATTAGCAACACAACGTTTTCAGGTATCTCTGGGAAGCTGAGTGTGCTCTATGAAATGGTGGAAAACCAAAAGGAAAAAAAAATTTAAAAAGGAAATTTAATTCCTGCCAGTCTAATGTGAGGAAAGAATCCCTTTGAAATTCAGTTGCTTATTTAACTTTAATAAAATCAGAAAGACAAGGTTATTTCTAGAAGAACTTGCACATTCTGTTTACAGGGAAAAAACTTCAGTGAGTCAGAGGAGGATGATGGCCTCACATCATATATCTGAGAGTGGGAAAAACCTGTTATTTGGTCATTATGAGCAAACAGCAGTAATCCAGTATATCTTTAAATTACTATGTGCCTGCAGCAATGGTCATATATATAGGTGGGACCTCATATTACTCAAACAGCTGAGAAAAAATTTTAATTCTACTGCTCATGTAGTAAATTATGTCCCCTTACAGAAGTCGCTTACAGAAGGTAATGTTAGAGATAAATGTGAAGGTGATTTGTGATGCAGAGCTACTGGTAACATCTGAATATATCTCACTCACTCCAGCAAACGTTTGGGGTTTTTTTTGAAGAACCAGCACCCTCATATGCATGCCTCATGAACCTCAATGCATTTTGGATAAACAGACATAGCGAAGGGCACACCAAATGGTGGACATGCACTCACTCATGACTCCTTCAGCCACCAGGTTACTTAGACCTTCATGAGACTATACCCCGTGGTAGTAGAGTCATGCCATATCCATATGGCCAGATTCACTGTGGATAATAATCTAGAAGCTTCACAATTTCTTCAGAACACTTTGCAGAGGGACTCTGAGATATGCACTGAATGACAGAGAGGGGCACAGAGAAACAGGAAACTGACTCCCTACAGATGTCTCCCAGGAAGTAGCAGCATAACAGTTCTGCAGCTGTGATGTATTACAGAGATGGTGTCTACCGATGTACCACTCCCCTAATTTACTCGCTGAGCCACTTGTGGCTTGAAAGAACAGGCACATAGTTTGCATTTTTTCTCAAACGTCTTTTGGCTTATGTGACACTTGAAACCCAAGATGTACATCTAGTAACAAATTTGGGCTGAGGGAAAGTCCTAGAAACGGAAACATATGGAAGAAATTAGGCAAGACAGACAGGTTAGAGAGAAGGAAGAGGAGCACAGAAGACGGAAAGGAAGATCAGACATCAAAGAAGGCACAAAGGGACAAGGTTTAAATCAGCCCAGATCCCAATTTGCAAATCTCTGAGAATTTTACAGGTACTCAGCTTACTATTCTCTGGGTGAATGGTCTGTTGCAAAGAGGTGAGAATCACCCAGTGGAAGTTTGGAAGCAAAGAGGAAGACAAAATTTAGACGTGACTAAAAGCCTGGGGCTTATGCCACAGAGACTTAGGTCTCAGTCTCTGTTTACAGGCTGCCTCCTGGTCTTAATTTGAAATGGTAATCCTGCGTTAGTTCAAGTGTTCTGCTGCTGGCACATTTGACAGTAAAAGGAAAAATCCACTGTGTGTTTGTTTGATTTTAATGGAGTTTTCTCAGTAAATATCTATATTTTTTATGGAAAGAAAAACCACACACAGAGTGTTTTAAGATTTACTCTGTGACCTTCACATTTAAAAAAGGCTAAAATGTGTCTCTATGTATGAATCTACATGTATGAATACACACTCACAAAGATATTTACAGACATTTATGGATGCACAAAAATGAAATAATGCATATTAAAAAAAAGTTTGTAGATACACAAATACACTGCCTTAGCAGCATAGGACTTTGCAACTCTGATTGATAAGCACACCTATCCTTGGCTCTTTTATCTCTCCCTGCACCTTTGCCTTCCCTTCCTCTGCAAGTTGCACAGCATCATCAGACTTCACTGAGAATCTTGTTCAGCTTCCGTATGTGGAAACCGAAACTTAAGAGACCAAGATAACTGGTGACACAGTGCTGCTGCTGGGTGAGCTTTATGAGTCTGACTCTGTTCAACGAAGTGGAATGACAGCCAGCCACGAGGGTGTGCAGGCAGAGCCCTGACCCAGGCAAAGTGGAAAACAGGCAGCTAGTAGGAAACACTTACCTGTGTGCTTACTTCCGTATTAATTTTTCTTAGCTAAACAAAACATCCCAATATCCTTGTAATATAATTCTTTCTTATTAACTGGTGAGGCTGCAGAAATCAGAGAAGTGGACCAAAGATATCTGATGAGGAATCAGCGTGAAAAAAGGAAAGCTGCAATTGAAGGTATTTTGGAATATGTTTTTCTACTCCAAGAAGTCCGTCTACAGTCTTCCCATGCTACTTTGCACCTCAGAAGTTCTGTATATTTATCTTTTTGATTTTGCCTCATTTTTATGTCTTTGTTTCAGTGCACATGCTTTGTCAGAGCACGAAGCAGAACAAACCTGGCGGGCATCAGTGTCCATAGTCCCCTTGAGAGCCTGACTCTCTCATACTGTCATCACACAACCAGCAGAGTTTAAAATAGTGAGGGGGAGAGCATAACCAGGTGGACTTGAGAGAAAGCAATGATTCATCCATTCCTTCTTTATCACACGAGGGAGTGTTCAGAGCAGCTCCAGAAACATTCAGTGCTGAGCTTTTCTTTTCCAAGAACTCAGGGATTGCTTAATGACAACCATATATGGTTAAACTCTCCTCAGAATTCACCCAGAAGCTGTAGCTCCCATGGGAGGTAAAACCTCCATGAAAAGCAGAAAACATCCACCAGAATCAGGTATTACAACCAATAGGAAATGGTTAATTTTCTTCACAGCAGCCCATATAGTACTGGGGTTTAGCCCAGTGACCAAAACAGTGTTGGTAACACATCAAGGTTTTATCTACAACATTTAGCATTTGTTTGACTGTGTCCCCAGGTGAGTAGACTAGGGATGGGCGAGATGCTGGAAGGTTACACAGCTGGGACAACTGACTGCAGGGCTCTCCCATGTCATGTAATGGTATGGTCATGGAGCTAGCAGTCAGGATCAACTAAGAGCCCAGATTGTCATGCTGACGAGGCAGGTCCTATGTCAAGCTGTGGAGTCAATCCTTAGGTCAGGATCAGGTCCTGTGATGGCAACCAATGTCACATACAGACAGTGATCACCAGGCTGGTCCATAGAGATGACACGGGTCTGACATTAACCCAGAAAATCAGTTCATGGGCCAGGAAACAGATCAACAGGATCCATGGCCTGCAATGGGCATGGACATATGCACGAGTGTGAGAGATGGAGACCAACACATCTACACCACAGCTCAAGCAGGGACTAACAGTGCAGACCTAAGCTTAAATGTCATTCCTGGGCCAGCTGTGGGCAGTGTGTCAGCCAAAGTCCCAAGTGAGGGTGGTCAAGATAACCAATTTTTTTTATTTTTTTTTAAATCCTCAGGGCCCTGAGAGATACAGACCACAATAACCATCTTTGTTTCTTACTGTGAAAACAATTCAAGGTTCTTGCTTGCTCATGACATAGGAATGTCACAACCTTGCTTTGGCCAAGAGCTGGTTACAGTGAAAACAAGAGCTGAGTGTGGTAAGTCAGGGCCAATAGGACAGTGTAAACAAGAACTAAACATAGTGAGCTTTGGCACAGACAGTGGATCAACAAGTTACAGAACCATCCCCAAAGCTGCTGGAAAGGTGTACACTGTGATACTGTTTGATTGGCAGCCTGTGCCAACACCTAATTACAAACACCTTCAGCATTAGAGATTACAGGGCACCTTGGTCCACTTAATAAATCGAGCTTAGCAGGTTCACATTGTCTGTGTGTCTCTTCCCCCCATAACAGCCTGTGTGAGCAGTTTTCTCTGACTCTTTAAAACCACCTTGAAAGCATCAGCTCCTGAACACATAAGATGTTAAGACCCATATATCAAAACAAGAGAATGCATCTACCAAAGTGGACATTATTAACTGAGGAGTGCTGTGATTTTGAGTTACAGGTTATCATCTCTAAGTTTTCATAAGCCAGATTCTCTTTCGGTTAGACTGGTCCAAAACTCTGGTTAATTCTATTGACTATGTTAAAAGATTAGCAGTAAAAATGAGAGAAGAATCAGGCCCAAATATACCTTTCGAATTCAATTACTAAAATGGGTATAAGTCAATGAATATTTATCGTAGTCTTGCAAAAACAATCTAGGATCAAAAACAGGACATGGAGAGAGGTTCTACTCCCAAGCATAGTACTGACAGTAGGGTTTGTACCTCTGCACGGGACAGAGGAACAACTGGACAGAGCACCAAAGAACTCAGCTTAACTACTCCAAGGAATACAGCTGCATTCTTACAGTTCTTTGTGCAACTTAATGTGACTTGTTTTTCAAGGGATTTCCAGTGAATACATCTAGCAGTCCAGTTCCAGGATGGACTAGCAGTTAAAAACACCTTCTTACTCCTTTTCAGTAGCTGAGTGGAGATGCTGAACTGCAATGACCATGGATACTGCAATTATCATCTCACAGTCACACTTTTTGGTGGGTGGATTTGCTTCTGTCAAATGGAACATCTGTGGATTTTTTAAGTTTTTTTTTTCAGATCAAGCGGTGCTGTCAGTTAAGTGTTATAGCTCCCACTGAGTCACTGGGAAGCTCTCTAGGTTAGCACAGTCTTTCAAATGAAGACTAATGAACTGACACTTGCTGTGGTAAGTTGATCAGTTTAAAACAGAAGGAAGTGCTTATTTACATGGCAAACTATGAACTTCTGGAATCTTCTGCCCCAGTAAACTGTGGATGCAGATGGCAGGACAGGGTCAAAGCAGATTTGAGAAACTCATGGTAAAAAGTCCATATACAGACACCAAAGGTAAAATGCAGAGTTCCCAAACACAGTCATTGTGAGTACTGAGGTAGTGTGGCAGGATCAAAATGAATCACAAATAGCGGCCAGGATTGTCTGCTCTGAAAAATGCCTCCTTCTGACACTGCTAGATACAGTGTCTGGACTATGCTTTCTGCCCCGATGGGGCATTTTCTGTGGTTTCAGGTTCATTCTGTTCCTCTTGCACCATGAGGTAGGAGACAAGGCTAGCAGAGAGGACAGCAAGTCTCCAAAGAGCACTTTCCCTTTTGGCATCCTGACCTTCTCTTGTCAGAGAGTAATTTTTCAAGAGTGAAGGAAATAACCTGTTTTCATCAAAATGCCTCAGCTGAAGTAAAAGTGAATTAATCAACTGTTCACATGCTAATTTAGCAATTCTCTTTAAGTACCCTTCTCCCATCATCCTGTGCAACATTAGGCCACATCAGAGGAACAACAAAGTTAGCAGAGTATGGGGCCTGGGACACTGTTCTCTACTCTGGTTGCTCCCTGCCTCCGTTTCTATACCCAGAAGTTTCTCACTAGGGATGTTTAGCACTGTCTAATATATTCAAGTCTTTCAGTGACAAGCTGTCGGTCCAGGCTGTTGGTGGCTTTTAGAAAATGGGGACCGTTAGGAACATTTTACATTACAACATTCTCCACAGAAGCAGTAAGGCCATGTACTGTGTGTGAAACCTCTTAGTAGAGGATCAGAGAGAATGCTGGTCTGCTACTCAATGACAGAGGTCACGTCACAAATAGGAACAAAGCAGAGATGTTTAATACCTTCTTTGCCTCTGTCTTTAGTCCCAAATGATGGGCCTTGGGACCTCAGGAGCCCTGTGTTGAAAGACCGTGACTGAGAGGATGATAAACTCAGAGATGACCTTGAACTTGTTCAAGAGTGGCTGCTCCAGATGGATAAGCATAAATCTATGGGGTTGGACAAGCTATGCCCCAGGATACTGAAGGAGCTGGTCAAGTCTGGAGAGGTCCCCGTCAACTGAAAGACAGCAATGTTGCCCCAGTTTTCAAGAAAGGTAAGAAGGGAGCCCCTGGTAATTACAAGTCTGCTAGTCTCACTTCATTGCCTGGCAAAATTATGGAGAAGATTATTCTGAGAGATAACAGCTGGGTTCTGAAAGGGTGGGTCTGGACTGCCTACTCTGAGGTAGCCAAAGTTCCAGATTCCCTTGGGCTAAATAAAGGCAAACAATGCTAAACAATCAATTGGAAAGTTTTATTTATAAAGCAGCAGTGATTTAAACTTTATGATAGGTTAGGCAACCTGTAGCAACAACAATTTAAACATTTCTGAACAGCAAGTGGACGAAACCTTTCTGAACAACACATGGCAGTGGTCTTTGAACAGCCTGCAACCGCAGTGAATTAAACTTTTAAGGAGAGGAAGAAAGGAAGAAGGAAAGATAGAAAAATAGAGGTAGATTAAAAAAACCCATCTGGATCACCACATAGGATTCCAGTGTCATCTCTGGTCCGTTTCCTCCGGATGGAGGGTGCATGGATGGTGGGTGCACACCCTGCCTGTCTGTTGCACTATTTATAGCCTAGTCCTCACACATGTACATTATGTGATTCTCAAACTTTGCAGAAGAGGATTGGGGGGTATTGTGCTTTCAATAACCGTTCCCCATCTGAGACACAAGTGCAATGCTGTCTCAAATTGAGTTTTAGAGATAGTTACCCAAAGTTAAGGAAGTTGGACCCAGAAAAGCACTATCCTGCCTTCTCAAGACCCCCTTTTCTAACTGCACCTTGTCTCATTTGTATGGTAACATTCCTTTTCTCTTCTGACAGATGTTTGAGACATTAACTCTTTCAGGTTTTCAGTCTCTCACAAGACTGCAGTCATTGGTCATAGTCAGCACAGGTTCACAAAGGGAAAGTCCTGCTTAATCAACTTCATTTCATTTCATGATAAGGTCACCCACCTAGTTGACGAAGGGAAGCCAGTAGATGTGGTGGGTTTGGATTTCAGCAAAGATTTTATACTACTCTCACAGTATCCTTCAGGATAAAATGTCCAGCACACAGACAGACTAGTCCATAGGGCACTGGGTAAGCAATTGGCTGATAGCTCAAAAAGCTACAGTAAATGCAGTTACGTCACGCTGGTAACCAGTCACCTCTGGGGTTCCTCAGGGCTCAGTTTTACAGCCAGTGATCTTCAATGCTTTTATAAATTATCTGTATGCAGGAATCAAATGTAGGAATCAAAATTAAGTACTTATTTCAATGATGTTAAACTAGAAGGAATTGTGGACTCCCTTGAGGGCAGAGAGATCTGGCCATGCAGAGAGATCTGGAAAGACTGGAGAGCTGTGCAGTCACCAACTGTACAAAATTTAACAAGAGCAAGTCTTGGATTCTCCAGTTGGGACAGGATAATTCTGAAGTTGAAGTAATCCTGAAGCTGACTTTCTGGTGACCAGTGACAGGACAGGACTAAATGGAATGAAGCTGCATTAGTAGATGTTCAGCTTGGACATCAGAATTCTTCATTGAGAAGGTGGTCAACCACAGAAACAGGATACCCAGGCAAGTGGTCACCACATCAGGCCTGTCAGAGTTCAAGAAGCACCTGAATGATGCTATTAGTCATATTGTTTAGTTTTAGATAGTCCTGCAAGAAGCAGGGTGTTGGACTTGATGATCCTTTTGGGTCACTTTGACTTGAGATATTCTGTGATTCTTTGATTCTAAAAATAATGATCCTGAAATGAAAACAGAAGTATGATGTTTAGATCATCTAATTGCACTTTGGACCTGCTGTGGTTTGTAACAGACATAATCAATGATCCACTTAGCCATAGATTTCTTTCACTTTGTTTCACTAAAAACAGCATTTGTCATAAAACTCTAATACAGTGAAATCAAATGCAGCAGCACATGTATTAGTTTCGCTAGATTTTTTTTGTACACTATATTTTTTTCCTATGTCCTTTCAGGCCAAGGATGCGGACTTATTCACTCAAGCACAGTCTCATGTCTCCAGAGGCACAAACTTTCAGCACTGTTATTGAATACACTCTCTCTTTTGTCTCCTGCCTTTCAGGAGGTCTGGCACAAAACAAAAACAAAGGTTGAATTTTCCCAGGGGACAGACATTCTCTTTTCAACAGCTTATCTCACAGAAACTGTACCCTTCCAACCAGTCATGGAATTTGCTGAATTGAATCTGGAAAGGACTTCAGTGAAGTATTATAGAGGGCCCCAGTGACTGGGAGGCTGTCAGACCACTAAAGATATTAACAGAAAGGGAGTGAGTAGCATCATTTGGTGAACTGAAACCCATGCTCAGATTTGGGTTAGGAAGGAATCTGGTGGAGGGTTTCTGGGATAAGCCTGGAGCTCCAGGTAAAAATCAAGGGATTTCCCACTCTGGAGCCTGAAGGAGAAAAACTGCCCTCTTAGCCTTTGCTCATAATATGATGGGAAAAAATCCACAATCTTTCTCTCCCAATGGGACAGGATAGTTCCCATGATTTTACTATGTTACTTTTTCCAAAAAGCCTGCTGCAGCATTCTTTAAACTCCAACTAGATGTGAATGGCTTCTTTCCTTCTCTTTACAGCTCAGTTACCCCAGATTGCAAATCAGTGTTCATGTGGTTCCCTCTATCCCTCAGAGTCTACTAACCTCTAAGATGTCCATGAGTTTCAAATGATTCTCAGCTATCGCTGGCTGAAAGTTCTCAGTCCAGAAACCATCAGCAATAATATAACCTCCTCGGATAAAGTTTTTCACACAGTCTTTATAGTCTGGAGAAACAAAAGCAAGATGATTAACTTGAGTTTATTCAGATACCAGAGAAGCTCATGGAACAAGACTTTTTAACCTCTTTCTCATGTCCGTGTTACAGAGACAGCTTGGCCATGGACAGGTGAGCTCATGGATGCTGTCCACTCCATGTCTGGAACCAGTGCCATTCTCCCAGGGCAATTTTTTCCCCCTCTCTTATCTGCAGAGGAGCCCTTCAGCCAGCCTTATCCCAGCAAATGCATTTAGTCCCCAGGGACAAGAGAGAAGGACCTTATCTCCCACTCCATCAGGAGTGACATAAATACGGCATCTCTAAACAAGGGAGATTTTTCATACAGGTCTGGTTCCTAAGAATCCTGTCCCTCTTCTCCTGCATAATCTGGTTTTGGATGCAACATCCAGTCACTGAAAGGTGACTGATATGCCCTCAGAGAATCCGGGGAGGACACTGGGCACAGAAGAAAGCCCATAACAGATTCACCCATGCAAAAAGTTCACCAGTTCACCCCTTCCCAATCCCACAAAGCATGGGAAACCTTACCTCGCTCGTTCATGACCTTAATGTTTACTCGCTCTGACCTCGCAAGTTTCTTCAGGCCTCTGCGGTTTCTTTCAGAGTCTATGAAGTAAAGCCGTGCCACACGAATGTCTATGTTCACATTCCGGTGCCTCTCTAAGAAATCCAGTATTTCATTGCAGCAGTTCACACAGGGGCTCCAGGACAGGTACCACTTGATGGAACAGTTGACATAAAAGGAAGATGGATTCATTCTAAAAATTTTCTCCAGGAAGTAGACTTCAGCATGACAGTAATCATCATCATCATCATAATTTTTGACCCAGTGTTTCCAAGACCTTCTGCTCTCACCCCATCGTAGTTTGCATAGTAGATATGTCTCCCGTGGAGACTTAAAGGGATCAAACTGGTTTTTTAACACCTGCTTAGGTATAAACATGCTGAAACAGAAGAGAGATTTAATGAAATCACTGGTTACAACTTTGTTTTCATTAGTACTCCAGTACACAAAAAAGGGGGAGGATGCAGGAAATGAGAGGAGACCTAAGAAGGGCAAAACACCAGAGAGCAGTGCAGAAAAATGAGGAGGTAGGCACCACAGCAGCATGAAGGAGCCAAACCCTGAACCACGAATCCTCCCTATGGCTGTCCTCTTCCTCATCCCCGCGAGTATTTCTGAAAGCTTTCTTCATATTTTTAATGTGTCAGACATTTTTACAGGGCTTCTATCTATCCCTTTTCAATGTAGGGAGCCATCGCAAATTTTGTCAAAACTAAAAAAAAAAAAAACAAAAAACCCAACCAAACCACCAATAAACCATGAAGCTTAATATTTCTCCTTATTGGATTCTCTTGCTGATTGTACTTTCATAAAGATTAGGACAGTCGGCACAATCCTACATGAGAGGAAAAAACCAAAAAGAAGTGCTCTACACAAAAAGATGCAGCTCCCAAGAATGATATTTTTTGACAGATAGTCCATCTCTTAGATCCAGACCTTTTCAGTTCAGAAGGTACTTCTAAATATTGTCAATTAAGTACCTATACAAAGACTTCCAGTGTGGGTCATGAATGTATCCTTCATATTCAGTAATTATCCATAATACATAAAGAAGATATGAAGTCTCCAGAGGCGCTTAGTAGCCTTCAAGCAAATGCCTTGTATAGAAATTTATATGAGAATGCACTTCAGATATATGTTTTTCCACACTACAGTAATCCAGAGTAAATCTAGTAGACAACTGAACAAACTCTGAAAAGAAAAGCAACAAGCCTGCAGATTGTTTTATAGATTAGCACTCACTAATAAAATTTAAAAAAAACAACCAAACAAACAAAAAACCTAAACCAAATAAACAAAGAAAAAAATCCCACCACCAAAAATCTGAACAAAGGACAAATGAAACCTTGCAGACATTGTCACATATTCTCTAGTTGCAAGACTCATCACCTACTTAAAAATCACATCATTTGTCTGAGTCAGTCAAAAGTCTCTGTCTTCTTACCGTCTCCTCTCTCACTGCAGCCTCCTACATGCTAAAATACATATGTACACAAACCATTTTATAAACCACAGAGTGCATCTCTCTTTATTTCTCCATGTAAACTCCCTTTATATAAACCACAGACATCACGCATGCAGATTTCTTTATCAGACTTTCTATCAAATTTGTGTAAATGTAACAAATGTAAATGTCACCAAATGTTTAATTCTGGTACAGGAATAACTTTTTTATTACACATTATTCCTTTAGTAGGTCATTAAAAAACCACAGTGAAAGACAAAAGTGAAGCACAGGCTCAATTTTTATGCCTTCTCATTTGAGACGTTAAAAGAGATGCATTTTTTCTGTTTATTTTATGTTATTTGGAAGTTAATGTCTATTATCTTAAATTTCCTTAAAACTGGATTTTTAAGGAACATATATACCTAAAATAATTAAATCATATGTTCACAATAAATATATAACACATATAACAGGTTGAAGTTCACCAAAGAAAATACACTGAATTCCAAATACTCAAGACCAATCAGTTAATCTAATTATTACCGAAGGTGTCTTTAAGGTTTTGGAAAGGTATGCTACAATAGATGACAGAGATCTGATTTGTTCCAAGGTATCTGTAGATGTTGCCATCTGATTATAACATATGAACAAGTTAAATCTTCCAAGTCTTACTTAAACTGGTCTTAAGCACCTTTTTGCCTGTGTTTTGACCATAACATACTGCACTTTGGATAAGTGGATGTCACGTGCATATTTTCAGGGACATAAAGCCATTTCTTTAGAACAATCTGCAATACACTAATCTTCGAGATACAGCCACCTTAGAGATATGTTCGGCAAAGAGAAATTTATGGTGTAATCAACTTAATGCAATATAAGAAAAAGACTTCATACTTATAAATATTTGCTATGTAACAAAATGAAACTTGCTATTGTTTAAATAACGTTAATGTAAATTTAAACAGCTTTAACAGACAACAAATTTAAAAACCATCACAAAACATTCACACACTACAGAATATATATATCTAGAATCACATAATCCTTTCACGTATTCTTTTGTCTCCCCAAACAAGAAGAGAGAATACTTAAAATAAATTGTGAGTTTACAGATAAATTGCCAAAAGCCGTGCAATCACTTCAATTTTTTTTCTTTTTAAAGTTTTCACAAGCAGTCCTTGTTGTTCAGCATGGATATGTATGGTACACATATGCACTCAGAGCCCAACTCAAAAAAATATCAAGCACTTAACAGCTGGTTCCTTGATATAGATATGACACAAAGTTAAGAGTTACCAAATATTAAAATAAAAAAAAAAAAGAAAACATATTTAGTTTTCTTTCTAAATTTGGTTCATCGGTCTCATGAACCTTTTCAGAATTTAAGGGCTGGAGAGAAGTACACTAACTGAAAAGAGTAACTGAGAATTTAAAAGGTGGATTGTACCTCAAAGCATTTATAGGAGTTAGGGGAGAAAATGGCAGAGGGATGACAGCCAACATAACTGTCTCCTAGGTTTTACTTTCTTTTTCATTAATATGCAGCTGCTATGTAAACTTGAAAATTAAATTGACTGATTACAAATATATCTTAAAATGTGCTATTTATGCATTTTCTATTGTATTGTTCTGTCATCCATAACTTCAACAGGAATGCAATGAGATTATTTTAAAATTTTACCAAAAAAACCAATATCTCTCATTAAAACTTTGTGTAATAAACTGCATCATTATAGGCTATTAATAATTTTCCTTACTTCCTCCACCACTTTTTATTAGAAACTACTTAAAATTCTGTTCATTGCAAGATAATAATAGTAAAAATGATAATGTCTAAAAATACACAACCATAGATGTGTCAAAACCTCTTTAATCTGCATTTTTTCTCCCATGCTAATGCTTTGCACAACCGAGGCATTTCTCTACTAAACTTTGCATTAAAACCTTGTTTCCCCCTCTACCGAACAGACAACGCCTGCCCTGACACTTCGTTTTGTGCCACAACAGCTATTTCAAGACCTTGAAACTGTCGAGCAGGGAGAAGCGAAATTTTTGGATTCCCTTGCTGCCTGGCATTGGGGTGAGCCAGCCTTATCCCTTCCCCAGCACCCCCCATCTTTCCTTTGCTTTTGTTCAGTGCCTTTCTTTTCTCGATGGTTTATGGCTCCCGTGACAGCTTTTATGCCGGTGGGAACTTCCCCAGCAGGCTCAGACTTCGGTGCAGCTCCTCGGCCACTGCAGCTACCCCTGGGACAGGGCTCCTACTCGTGTACCCTGGCACCAGCATCGCCCTCACCCTTCCTCAAGCAAGACAGAGACTTCGCACGGACTTTGCACCACCACCACCACTACCCACCCCGCCCCGGGGCAGCAAAGCAAGGGGTCCCCTTGGGTTGAAGCAACAACGCAGAGCTGAGGCTGGGGTGGATTTTTTTTTTTTTTTTTGCTCATCAGTTTCCTTTACCCTCTCATCTGATTCCCGTACATGGCTTCCACTCTCCCGGTGGACCCTCCTGATGCTGTCCTCCCTCCTGCTGCTGCAGACGAGGCTCCGCGAGCGGCCGACGCAGGAGCAAATCCCCAGACTCCGCTGGCACAGGAAACAGGAAAACTTTGTTTGACCGCAGTTCCACCTCGTCATGACATGTCCGTACATGCCTGCCGTCAGCGGTGCACTTTCCGCTGTCTTAACTCCTACACGGGGCGGCAAGGGTTGATACATGTTTTGGCTTAAAAAACATAATAATTTGAACAATCTCTTTGAAGCCTGCTTCTGAGTTTCAAAGGGATGATAATGCTTCCTTGGCAGAAAAATGAGGTTTATTCTTCTGTGTGTTGCAAATAGTCTGATAAATAATTAGGATATAAATACATAGAAGAAGTAGTTGTGATAAAATAATAGAGATTTGGTCATATAAAAGAAATAGTTCATTCAATTAAACGTAGAAAATTGTGAAGCACAATGTACAGAATTGTTAAGGAGTATTGTGTTGGAAGTATGCAACCATGGATACCTTGCCAAGAAGTTATTGGACCATGTATGTTAAGTTACTGGACCATATATTCTGCTTGGAAACTCCCTCATTCCTTCCCAGCTTAATCTCTGTATCAAGGATTCCAATCAGTAAAGCTAAGTAGAACTGACCAATTATTGTTTTTGGAATAAAGATATATAGCCTATAGAACCAATTATTGTAACGGTTAGATTTAAGAATGGACTTTTTGTAAGAGAGAAGAAGAAGTATAAAAATGAATAGAAGAATGGACTTATGTGCAGAACACTCCTCCCAGGGATGCAGCTGTTTTGTGTGTCACACAGACCTTTTCTGAAGCTCAGCTCTGTGGAAAGCACAGTAGTTCTGCCTCGTGCATCGCCAGACCTTTCCACACTGTCACAGCTTTGTCAAGGATGAAGTGCTCACAAATACCACTGATGAGAGATTTCACTCACAAAGAGTCAGCAAAGCTCACTTTCCCTATCAAACCCAGGAGACTCTCCTCTGCGGAGAAAGAGAGGGATCCATGTGTTGGGAACCACGCAGCAAATATGGCATTCAAAGACCTCTTAATCTCAAACAGACCAGAAACCTGTACTAAGTTCATCTGTAATTTCTATACACAGGTCTGTGCTGTGCTGGGCTGCACGTGCAGCATGGCCCTCAGGCCGCACAGATCCCTTGCTCTCAGGACAAACATAGCTGGTGGATTGTAAAAAGGGAGCCTGGGGCAGCTCCTGCCTGGCACCAGTGGCTGTACCGCCCACCTGGCAGTTGTTAACCAATCCCTACCTAGATGTGCAGCAGGAAATTCGAACTTCCTTTAGGAACAGAAATATGTCCCTATAAGAAAATATATAATAGCTCAAGGCACGACCCTCAGACTAGGAGTCCAGGGGAGCAGCAAGCGGCTCCTCATAGACCATGAAGAGACTGGCTCTGCCTCATGGAGAGCTGTACCAGATCCTCCATGCCAGCAGCACTCTGTCTTCCAGGAGAGGAGGTTACCTCAGGCTCAACACTGCCTGAATGCACGGAGCCAGCTTTGGCCTAGTAGAGTGACAGGGCTATTTGTCCCTCCAGGAACTGGCCTTGAGGTTTTTTCAATTACCTGGGATATCCCAAAATGGCATGAATTGTCAGTATGAAGATTTTAGATTCCGTATCTTTTTTTATGGAATACCTGAAGAGAATTGCTGAGCCCTGTCTCTTCCGAGGGACAAAGACCTTCAGGACTTGATTTCAGGACTGATGTTGGAACTAATGCCAGATGTTGATACCAGCATGTCTAACCCACTTAGCTTGAGTGCTGGCTGCCACAGAAACTACCTGTCTCCACAAGGGACAAAGTGAGTACTGTGGGGTCTTGGATAACCAATGTACCCCACCCTAACCTGATGGGCAATCTGGTGTGTGGCTTGGAAGTGAATGTCAAGGTGTGCATTACCAGTGTTTTCATTTTTACATGGCTGTTTGTAAATGCATTTTAAGTATCAACGGCAACAATGCAATTTTCTGAAAGCTAAAAAGTGTGACAGATACTGCCGTGAAAGGTCTGCTAGGAATGTACTTCTATAATAAAAACAGAACACAAATGGAAGTTCATGGTGGAAATTCATGAAGGTCAAGGTTGTGATAAACTCATCTACCTTTGAATGAAAAATATTACTACGGAACAGGCCTCTTTGTAGATTTCAGATTGAGGTGCATGACACTTTTAAGATAAAATGGTGACAGCCTGTAATGTGCTCACTGGCGGTTTGATGGGAAAGCTTCCTGCAGGATGATGTGCAATATGTGTTTGTTTCCATGATCTCTTCCAGTGACTCTGCTCTGACAGCAATAAAAATCACCTGAGATGAAGTCAAGAGATGTGATAAGTACTTCCCTGAACTGCAGTAGCTCTGTGTCCCTAGAATGTGCCTGTCAACATCTTCCTCCAAAGACCTAAGCAGTATGTGATGGACTGAAACTAAGCAATGCCTATGTCTCTTCTCCAGAAGCCATTTCCCATTCTTCACCTCTAGCTCCACAAACCATATCTATGACCTTTGCAAGTCCTTAGTGGACAGACACACAGTCCCATAACATGCAACAGCTATAATTTCTTAGGATTAGTAAACTTACCTCTGAGTCTCACTCAAGTACTCTCCATCATGCAGCCAACCTTAGTGAATGACACAGGGGCATAAAACTAACACAGCCAGAGATGCAAGAACATACCATTTCCTAGGTCAAGTTTTCTTTCAGTCTTTCAGACTTCATCATCTCCTGCGTACTGCAACAGCAGCATGGCATGCTGGTCTGGATTTCCTGTATCTTGGGGAGAGGGATGCTTCTGTTGTGCTGTGACAGCTTCACATCCTCTTGTCAAAGCCACAGGTTCAGTTTCTCTGATTGAGCTGGCAACAAAAGACTGGATGTTGAGGGCTTTCAGTTTCCAAACATCCAGGGCTTGAACCACCCTCCTCCTGCTGCTGCAGTGTCCTAGGACTAGATGAAAATGACCTGCTGAACTGCTGACTTAACATTTTAGCCCTCCTACCACAGAGTGGGAAAGCTCTACTTGAGGTGATGTCATGGGATGGTGTTTGCTCTCAGAAGCAGTCAGTCCATTCCTGGGAAGCTGCCCAAACATCTGCTCCCTGCAACAGGAGCGCACCCTTGCAATGCACAGCACGAGCCATGCTCAGTACCACCTGGAGCACCAGTTTCCCACGTGCAGGGCATGGCACAAAAATATGCTGGCACAAAATCACAGTTGGGAGAAATCAGCAAAGCCCTGTCAGAATGTGGCTATGGGCCCACACCTGAGCTAGAACAAATGTGCAGCACCTACCAGTGACCAACAGCACTGCCTGGCGTTAGTGGTCAGGAGTCTGCTGGGTAATTAATAAGCCTTATTAATTACAGGGATCCGATGGGGTTATAAAAACAGCAGGTTAGGTAACTAGATTGGTAGACAGCCAAAGAAAAAAAGAAGAACACCGATGACTTTGATTGATTTGGCCACAGACATTTTGCCTCTTAAGCACTCTGGACATAATTGTTATTTCAGTGAAAGCTTGGATATGAGAATGAAAAACTTGATGTGAGATCATCAGCATGTAGGTAACTCAACCAGAAATACAAAACATCTTGTTCTGACAGCTCAGTCATGGGACATGAGTCGTAATGTCTTAGTTCAATTTATCTCATTCATTATACTGCTCTTTATCTATATTACTCAATGAAATAGAAACCAAAACATAACTTTTATGATTTATTTTCCACTTTTAAAAGCTTGCAGCATATCAGGGAATATCTCCTAGGCACATATTAGATGCTGGTCCCCCAACAGCTGGGCCTTTCTGACCCCATATCTATTATGAATCTTGCTAAAGAGGCTTTATCACCTCACAGGGTTGATAGGACAGGAGGATCTGCACAAGCCAGAAGTTTTATAGGAGACAACTGTCACCAAAATCAGTGTATCAAAAAATTACAGCACTCAGCACATCTCTCTGTAGCCTCTTGGATGTTGTTGACCTTTGCTGTCAGATTCTGAAGTCTTTTCTTGTATCTCAGCCCCTCTAGCATCAGACCTGCGTCACAGCCACTCATCTGACATTATATATTTGTCCAGGCCGTGGGACAAAGAACAGGAAAAACAGTTCAGAGCTCAAAAAACAAGAGGTAAATAAATACCCCAGAAAAATTATTTATCCCTGTTATTAGGCTTGTTTCTTTGTTTTATTAGGCATATGCTTCCCCAATGATTTTCGAAGAGTTTTGATAATGGGGAAGACAGTGAAATAGTTTGTGCTTTGAAAGCTGGTGTTTGAAGACAGAAAGATGGGGAAAGTCTGCCTGAGCAGTGCAATAACATAAAGGATTTTCCCTCACTCTTTAAAAGAGGTTTCCCTTTTCTGCATCATCCATATACTATCTGGACACTTGTGCCTGCCAAGAGACTGCCCTGAATAGTGATACTGCCCTTTGGTTACTCCACCTAAATTAGCTGGTTAAGGAAACTCTCCCCATAAAGAGGGAACATGAGTCAGACAGAAAGCCAGGCTGGGATACAACACATCTCCGTGCAGCTCTAGTTGTTCATTTGCAAGGCCTTCTCATTCATAGAGAAATTTCTTGGAGACCTTTGTGGTAACAGAAGCCAGTCCACCCCTCAGCACTACCCAGATTCCATGACACCCTAGAGGCAGCAGGCAGCTGCCTACACATACTTGGCACAGCAGTATGAGGAATGAGCCAGCAGATCTGGGAAGACTTGGGCAGGACTGGCCCCTGCTACTGCCTTTGGGATAGTCCACACTTGGCACAGCCAGTGGGAAGCCTCCCTCTGCGTGCTGAGGCCATCGCTGCTCCTGTCCCCAGCCTGAAAATGTCCCATTTTGTTCCAGCCCACAGACAGCCCTTTGCTGCAGCAGCACCAACAGCTTCAGGGAAACCCTTGCCTGCCCTGTGGTTCAACACTAATGAGTTCAGGTTTCTTTTCAGACACAAATACATGAGAATCACAGAAGCAAGGTATGTAAGTGGTGGAATTTATGAATCTGTCCCCAAGACACTCTGTGTCCATCTC